CTTCCGCTGAAGGGTATAAAGAATTTTGATTAGAGAGTGTGGTTTCATCATCTTATCTCCTTGGAGGATCCCGAATCTGGTTCATTTCAACTCCCAGTGTTGGGGATTCACTGAAAGTTCCAAGCTTTTCGGCCTCCCTAGCAATCCGAACATCGGAAGGTCTGTAATACTCACCAAGAAACTTGATGGCGAATCTAGGAAGTAATGATGTTACAACAATGGCAAGCAAGCAAAACCAGAACATCCATGTCTTGGCCACTTGGAAAATTGCCCTATCACAGCCATAACAAAACAGGTCAGAAAAAAAAGCAGAGGAAGTTGACAGTTTCCATATCCAGAAAAGTCTTGAAATTGCTTCGTCGCTATGATATGTAGAGAAGAAAAAACTTACCAGTAACCAGGGAGAGTGGGTATACAATCGATCACAATGACACATATACAAGCTGCAACAATGGAACCCCATATGGCGGCGTGTGTGATCCAGTTCCATCTGATTACATCCATGGCCAAGTGAAGATTAACCACCACAACAGCAGCAATGGTCCATAGGTCTCCTAGGCTCGACGTGTCAATGGTACTTCCCCAATAAGCAAAGAGAGGAATGAAGAAGATAGCTGCACTTTGCCAGATTGTGTCCATCATTGTGTACCAGAAGAGCGTAGTGGAATAGCCCTCTGCCCTCTGGCCAACACCGTAGAGCTGAGGATACTCGAGAAGAGTCCTCCTTCCAAGGTCTTTATCAAGAATACCGATAATTATTGTAGGGAACGATGTGTATATGACTGAGTACAAGACACTACTCCATTCTGTGATGGCGGTTGTCAGCGTGTAGCAAGTAAACAAAACATACCTGCATAAAATTGGTGAGGGTTAGTCCATGGTGATTGTTTTAAGATGGATTAGTACAAAAGGTAGTAAAACAGTACTCACCAAAATAAAATAAGAACAAAAACTGCATTTCTATAGAAATTGTATAGTATCATGTAGCCCATCCTTTGGTAATTCCAGTGTCCATGGACGAGCAATAGCGGAACTAAGAATCTGAACTGTCCCATTGCGAAATCAGATGCCATCACAGCTTGGCGACCTTCTTGGCCGCTGATTCCTACCCCAACATCAGCCATTTGGATCATGGAGACATCATTGGCACCTGTCAAAACCCGAGCAAATGAGAAAATGAAACAAACAAAACAAAGAACCAGGTTGCTTTTTAGACAGGATCAGACAGACTGGTTTTTTGAAAGAGAAGTGGAGTCATTATTACCATCACCAATGGCAAGAGTCATGTCAGAAGTCCGGTTCTTTACAAGTGCAACGATTCCAGCTTTCTGGAAAGGAGCAACACGGCAGCAGAGTATCGCAGAGCATTTACATGCCACTTGGAAGAGCTGCATTGCACAAAATGAGCAATTAGATCACCATGAAAGACAGTCATAAGCAGAGAAAGCAAGGGAACTTCATCAGAATTTCACTTACCACATCTTCAAGATCATTGTCAAGTACATATATGAGACTGGTACCATCAATAATTAAGGCCACACTTTCGTCATTGCTTGCAATACTGGCATTTACTTCTTCTAAGCTCCTCCGACATGAATCCAACGAGTTGCTATTTATTACAATTTGCCTCATGTTTCTTGTCAGAAGCCTCGATGAGAAGCCAATAGATATGGCAGTTTCTTGCTTGTCCCCAGTCAATACCCATACTTTTATCCCTGCGATTCTGAGAGATTCTATTGCCTCCGGAACACCACGCTGCAATTTGTCTTCAATTGCAGTGGCTCCTACAATCCTAAGGCTAGTCTCGATGTTTCCAGCAACCTTTCTTAGCAATCCAGCCCTACCAATTAAGGCAGTGCTTGCCGCCTCAAAGGAAGAATGCCATTGCTCAAACTCTGAATCGTTCAGCTTTCTCATCCCAACAACAAGAGTTCTCAAACCATCAGATGAGTAAGCATGAAGCTGGTCCTTGGTCGCTTGTATGACATCACCGTAGGATTCATCCATGACACTAAACATGGACGAGTCTGCACCTTTTACAAAGAGTTTCACCGACATGTCGGGGCATCCCAGTATCACTGACATTCTTTTTCGGTCACTATCGAACTCATGCAATCCCAAAACATTAAACCTGCACTGGGCAAAGAGAAACGGAATAAATGCTATAGGCCACCTACTATGATATGCAATTGCAATGAGAAAACACATAAATTAATGGAGAAAAGTAGCCATCACATGTCTAAATTACCTTTGCATTTCTCCTCGCACGTTAATAACTATATGACCAGAGGTTCTCTCTATGAGCAAGAAACCATATGAAGCTGCTGCATAGACCAATGCTTGTTCATCAGGGGACTCCCCTTGATAATCCACCAGCTTTACATTGGGATCAGACGTGTTGATAACAATTGGCACAATTGTATTACAAGCTGCCAGTGAAAGGAAAAATTCATTCGCACGTTTTGCTTCTTCTGTAGCATTGCCATTTTTCGTCAACTCAAGAAGCGCAGGATCAACTCTCACCCTCATCTTTGGCTTCAAAATATTTCCATCAACTGAAAAATTCAGGCATCATCAAAAGTCAGTCAGTTAACAGTAAAACATACTACTATTAACAGTAGAAAAATGATTAAGAAACTAGTTTCTTTACCTTCAATGGAGTATCCTGCATGCTCGCTGTCAGCAGGTTCCCTGTCAGAGTAATCTACACCTCCTATGCAGGCACATTGAAATTCCATCTTGTTGTCCGTGAGAGTACCCGTCTTATCAGAGAATAAATACTTAATCTGCCCTAAATCTTCATTTATGTTCAAAGCCCTGCATTGAAAACTTGAATTTGAAGACTCGTCATACATCTGATCATCTCGGGTCATGAAGTATGCTTGACCAATACGGACGAGCTCCATCGATATGTAGAGAGAAATGGGTATCATGATCTGGTACACGATGACTGCCATAAAGAAAGTGAAGAATATCTCCCAACCCCAACCATAGTAATTATGATTCTTCCCTCCTGGCCTCTCGGCGTAGTCCTTTCTCCTGTAAAAGAGAATAGTGTCCAAGTCATCCCTGTGTCGCCTCAACCACACAGCAGCGGTAGCAGCCGCGGTTGTACACAAGACGATCAGAAACAAAGATAGCAGAATGATCTCTAAATTCATCCGAGTTTCTAGCCTACTCCTCTTTGACGGTGCTCCAGAGTTGTTCAACATAGCTTTCGTCTCACCACCAGCATAAACAACAACCCCTAATGCCCAATCAGTGTTCTTGAGCTCACATCCTCTAAGAATAATATTAGAGGGTCCAAGGGAGAGCCTTCTGCCATCAATTTCCATGTTGGCTTGAAACCCATATATGTTCCTATTCGGTTTCTCACACTTGATAAATCCATTAAACGACTCCAAATCAGCAGCTTTCAGAAGCGTTTCCTGCTTGGCATACCTTGTCTTCAAATTCGACTCTCCATCCAAATTAGTCGTCTGCACATAGACAACCCCAGTAGGATCACTTGTAGCCAAGAGCACCATGTCACAAGGAAGAGTCTGATTCGATTGGACTTTAATGACTTCCCCAACTCGAATATGCTTCCACTTCTTTTCTTGAAACTGGTTATCCTCAAAAACTAAAGCCAACCTATTGTTCTCAACTCTATCTGATCTATGTCTCCGAAAATCCTCATAAGCGTCTTTAATCGCCGAGACCAACAGGACAAAGGCAAGAGGCATAATAGATGCACCTCTACCAAAAACTGCAAGCTGTGGAAGCTGATTAAGCACTGCTATAACAAGGAAGTATATATAAGCAACTCTATGGAACTGTTCAAACAAGTTCCTTGGCAAGAAGGTGAAGACAGAATACTTTGCAGTCTTGATAGAATTCCCTGTGAACTCAAACCTTTCGTTTGTTCTCTCAGGATCGTTAATATAAACCAAACGAGCATCTTCGTCTTTAATCTCCTTTTGAGACATACTTAACATCTCTGAATCAGCTCCAGCTGATCCATGGCGAATACGCTTTGATCCAACAACATCACCGAAAGTAACTTCTCTTACGGAATTGTCTTTTGAAGAAACGCTCCACCTCGAAGATACACCCAAAATGGATTCGTGTTTATCAATCGATTTCCTTGAATCCATTGATTAGGAATCTGCCGGGTCCAGGATTCAGGGACCACTCAATGGACAATGAAAGGAAGAATTTTTTTAGATAGTAATCAGATCAAATGGGAAATTCATTCCCGAAGAAGACGATTTGAACAATACCCAGAAACCCCCAAGAGCTTGAAATCAGCTTGAAGATCCTAAATCGGAAACAAAAACAAAAACAAAAACCCCTCTCTTTCGCGTCATGAAAATGGAATTTGATCCAGCGAAAATGACCTAAGTTAAACGCAAATGGAGCAGATCCAGATCCTAAATCCGAGACAAAACCCCTTCCTTGGAACACGAAATTGGGGAACTTGATCCAGACCTAGCTAATTTCCGAAATGAGCAGATCCAGGGACGATAAAGAATTTCGCTTTTGCGCGCTAAAAATAAAAAACCAACCCGAGAAAATGGAATGGGGAAGAGAAAGAGATGCAGGTGACGCAATCGCATACGTCAATAC